TATATATATATGTTTACAATGTTTACATGTATCCCTGAAATTAAGATAACTTAATAGAAAGTTACTAATTAGTAACCGTATCAAGTGCACAATGTAAACTAGGGCAATAATCAAGAGACAGTAGTATCTCATATCTCGTACCAAGTAAACGCGCAATACGATAGCGCCAAACAACGCGTATATCTAATTTCAATCTTATGTAACTATGTCATAAAAAATCATATAGAAACAAAAAAAAATTCATTTTGTATGTAAAAGATAGTATTTATTTTTTTAATTGCAATTTCATTTTAAATACACATGATCAAAATCATCATTTTTTATCTATATTGTCAGATTTTCTAATTTTCTCAGAAATATGACGTGATAGAACTTTTCACGAATTCAAACTAGCGATTAAAAATCTTTGAGAAATGACATTCCACATGTCAAAAAAAAAGTCAAATTTTGTTGGACAGTGTAATACATAAAAAGCTATAAAATAATGACAATTACAAACTAATGGAAATTATTAACAATTGCAAATTGCCAATTTCTCCGAATTAGCTTTATAGAGCATCAAATCTTTTTACACGATAAAAGTATGCACAAAAAAAAACGCACCAGCCACTTTAACGAGAAAATCAGGGAAAAAAATAAAAATTCTCTTTATTTCAGCTTTTATAGCTGTCATCTCATATAATTTCCCTTATAATTATAGTTATTTCCCTTATAATTATAGTTGTAATTCCTTTAGTGCAGAAATTCTATAAGTCGCACGTACCAAATAATATATTCTCCGTATGACATGCACGAACAATTCTGAGCTTGCGAAATTGTGATCGAAGGCATAACAAAAAAGATATTCCAAAATTAAAGTCGTGTGTATTACCGATTAAATCATAATTTTTATATAACAATTACTTTTTTTCTCTTTCAAAGATTCGAAAATCCTTTTACAGCATTAAAGTATACGCGTTAATTAATATGTGTTTGTGAGGTGAATTTTATGCCGAGAAAGATAAAAAAATTTTCTTAAAATTTCAATTTCGAAATTTTTTATCGTTCTCAGCATAAACTTCACGTTGCAGACACATATTAATGCGTATATTTTAATTCTGGAAAAGGATTTTTGAATCTGTAAAAGGAATAAAGTAATTGTTATATAAAAATTATTAGTCGATAATACGAACAGCTTTAAGATCTCACGAGAATAAATCAAATAAGAAAAATAAACCTATTTTCGATCAAAGCGGATCTTATAGAAGTGTTTAAATATTTCGCACGCGGAATGAATTTATACAGAATATTTATGATAAATATTTATTATTATTCATTTCTTAAAATGTTATATAAATATTTTATACATATTTT